TAGCTGCTTTACAGCTAGTCACATTTGAAATGGCTAGTGTTAAAAAGAAAATACCAATATTTATCTATTTCTTTTGGTTTCAGCACGTGGCTTGCTGGGCGTGGGTAATCAAGCGGGTTGGCGCTTTATAAACCTGGTATCCACCAATCACCTGGAATACAGTAAATTACTGTATTCGCAGACTAGGGGAATCCAATAGAGGTGAATTATATTGTGACTTGACTATATTTTATGTTGAGATTTCATTTTATAATCGTCTGAAATTATTGATTTAATAACTTAAAGTGTTTGTTTTCTGACATGATCTAAATTCTACCTACCTTACTGTATACCTATAATAAAGATATGTCTATTTAAAGTAGGTATACTCTATTTATAAATTACAGCTATTTTGAAGTCGGCTTACGTAAGCATACTAAGCACATAAGTTTGGTGCTCCGATGTTAATTTCCTAGCCTTTGTGAAAACTATTAGCAGTTATCTTCAGGAGAGAGTTCATTTGATCCCGCACCAAACTTACTTAAGTAGGAACACTTAGTTCCACTATGCACTGATGATTTGCACTATTTTATTTATTTAGGTATTTTTTGCACATAAGGAGCTTTTATGAACGAAAGGCCAATCAAATGAAATAGTTCCAAATTGTGAATAATTTTCTGGCCTTTGCACATTAAAGTTTTTTTATACGAGTAAGTAAGTGAAACTGAAATATATTTCTTAACTGAAAGCCTGAATTATTTTTGCAACTGTTCGGTTGTCAGTATTTATATCTGTTTCAATGATGCATATTCATAACGCACTAGTAGAATTAGAAGATTGATGTCATCCGGCACCAATCTCAGATAAATCTGACCTACAAAGCAGACATTATTGGTAGCAGACGTCAAGGTAAATATAAACAATCTTATATAGTTGTATTAAGAGCGATTTTGCGATAAATATGTAGTCTGAAGTGCTGCTTGTCCAGTTCGACGTACAGACGACGGCACGTCAAGGTAAACATTGTGGGGTCTTATGCAGTCGTAATAAATGCGAATTTGTAACAAAAAAAGGTAGTCTGATGTACTGTCGTCTGTATATCCACGAGGCCTGGGCATCAATGGCCTAGGTATTGTGCTGGCACAATGGCATTATCGCACCAATTGCCTTCCTGCAAGACAATACATCGGCTGATGCACTTCCTTGTAATTATTATGAAATTTAGGCCAGGTATTCTATTCTGTGGCCAGGTGGACAACAGGCATGACGTTAAATTGGTGTGGTGTGGTGGCATTCGAGAAACAAAAGTCCCGAGAATGGTAATATTGGAATGGTTATAGACAGGTGGTATCAATTTGATCTAAACACCATATTGTGATTATTATAAGGCTACATAAGGTGAGCTTAACACCATAATACACAGTGCCAGTCGCTTACCTTTTAGGCTAAGCAATAAAAATTGTTCGCCGAAACTTTAAATAAATGAAAATTACCTAGGTATTTAGTAGATTATGGGCTGATTTTACCCTCGCATCGTCGGATAACTTTTATAGTTCCAAAATACTGGACTGTCCTGTCGATGACATTGACAGTGGGGCGCCACCGTCAATACCGGACCGCTGGTTCAGATTTTTGCCATGTTGGAAACCATATAGTTGAACGATGGTAGCGCCCCCCTGTCATTGAGTTTGGTGGGACAGTTCAGCGTGGGTCATCTATAACTGAAGATTAAACTTGTCATTTTGACATAATTTCCAATACAAACTGTCAATGTGCCAAACTTATTCTTCAGTTAAAATCAGCCCTAAAATAAGTAGGTATTCTTATTTTCGCTTTAAACAAAATTATTTTGTACATGCTAATATTGTTTGAAAAGAAGGTGTTCCAAAGATCCAAGAGGAAAATCCACTTCAGCGCATCGGGAGTTGGGTTTCATTGAAAAACTTTCCGGGGAATACTTTAATTAGTTTATAGAGCAGACGCCATTATCCCTGAGGAGCGAGCTGCTCGAGCTAAAGTTTGCTCAACGAAGTTTATTATTTAAAAGAAAAACGCTCGCGAGCATTGCAGATGGGAAATAGACAAATGGAATAGTAGAATAAATTATGCTACCTACTTAATTCAGGCTAGTTCAGGCTTATGTACGATTAGTTATCATAAGGTGCTATTTTTCATCAAAAATGGTCTGATATTTCTTTCAACTCGGTACTTTTACAACCCGGTATTTAGGTAGGTACCTATAGAGAGTAGTTTTAAGCAATGTTTATGTCATTTCCTCCCATTACTTCTCGCACCATTGTGGAAAGTCAAGCAATCATTTGGTCGCTTCACAAAATTTTTTTTTGGCGAATTTCAACGTTTTCGAGAAGGCAAAGTAAACAGGCTATTTTATTCACCTATGTCATAAAACCTATTTTTTTATAATATGTCATGTCTTTCGGCTGAAACGAACGAACCGAACGAATGTCATAATTATTTGATATCAAAATCTAAGAGCGTTTTCACATTTAGGCGATTTAGCAGCACGACAAACGCGCGACAGGCATGCCTTCACATTACAAAAACGCCGCTGCCACGCTGCAGTCGCGCTACTAACGCTCTAATGTGAAAGCGCTCTATAAACTTCAGATAAACATACAGAACCCACCACATGCTCCACAAAAATCTATCCAAAGATACCAACGCATCACGGCGCATTTACACTCCGCACAAAGCCGCATACTAATCACATTATCATCGAGTAGATTAGCGGTAGGAAGGTATAAAGCCTGCATTGTGCCGGCGGAACGGAGCGCGCCGGAAATGGCGGCGGGGAGCGGAGACAGCCCATCCGGCGGGAGGTGAAGTTGCCGGAGCAGTGCTGCGCGCGGTAATCGATTGGACACGCCGCGATTCGATTGTGCATCGATTCAATTTGTCATTTGAATAGTTCAGTTGAACCAGAGTAAATACAAATGAGTAGGTCATCTTCATAGAAACGCCCGAGCGCGGTTTGTATGTGAGCGCGACTCGCGCGCGATGCGGCGCGCACGCACACACTGACAAAATTTAGCGTTGATTAGCGGTGAGTTGCCCCGAATTTTGTCAGTGAGTGCGTGCGCGCCGCATACGTATTGACGCGCGCTCACATACAAACCGCGCTCGGTGCGTTTCTATGAAGATGACCTACTCATTTGTATTTACTCTGGTTGAACATTGCGGTAAGATGAATAGATTTAAACGCAATTAGGAATCATATTATGTCATTTAATTAGGATGAATGTATTAAATGCTATTTGGAGTCTAACTGGGTTTGCATTCTTTATGTCATGTCTAAGCAGGGTCCATGTTATGGGTCTATGTCTATATTATGTAAGAACCTTTGTATACCAACATTAGAGCAATAAAGAATTTGAATTTGTTATTGTTAATAATCTTTAGTCACAAACGTTTGCTCGTTTACCTCCTGTCTCTTAAAAAAAGGTAAACAAATATGTGCTTGTACACGATTGCGATTACGAACTGCCATTGCCTCAAATAAATTATGACTACTAATAAGACGTGAGCTTGTAGAAGCTTTCAAGATTGAAAACATAAATAACAGAAGTACCACAACAAATAATATGAAGTCAATAAGAAATCCTGAATTTAATATTCATCATATCGAAGCTTATAGTCATTCTTACAATATGCAAATTGAAGAAAAAAGAAAAAAGTAAGTAATTTGTACTTTCCAAATATTATCTCAATCTTGATTCTTAGGTCTTATTAGAATTGCAATCGAATTTATAGAAAAAATAATAATAATCGAGATCCCACCGTACCTAATCGATTTTCAAATCGAGTCCACCATCGACAACCATCGACACTGCCCAGCCCTACTGCCATTGTCAACGCGCGCCGCCACGGCCGCCTTCCGTCGCCGCTATTGGACGCCGCCGGTTGACGGATTGCGACTCTCAGCTTGAGAAACAGACCACTTCTGGGGAATAACCACTTCCATCCTCTTCAAAGCAATTCAATTGGCCGATTCATTTTCTTTTGCATTTGATTAGCAGGTTGGCACAGCTTTGCACGCATGATTAGGATCATATGGGTGCACGGAGCATAGAAAGAGGTGTCTGGTTTAAAAAAATAAGATTAAAAAGTAATGGGACATGAAGTGTAACGGTTCTTTAGGAGCAATTGACAATTTCCAAGTAACCAATTTAATTAGTTCAGACAAATAAAGATATTTTTAATTTTTAGACGAACCGAATTCGCTATGCCTATCCGTCTCAAGCAAATTTTTTGCTAACTTTAGATTAATTGACACAGATTGCCCAAATTGGCATTTGAGATGGATTTAGGTGGTTATTTATTTAAGTACACATTAGTTTGTGTAACTACATATTATAAGCTTACAGTATCTTATGGAGTAGAATTCATATACTATAAATATCTACAGAACAAATAAAGAACAATTTTGAAGCTGCTTTGTGGTGGAATATTTTCAGAATAAATTGGTTTACAGTGCTTCAGTCCATAATAACAATGTTCATGATTAATACTAGGTACTATTAATATTGTGTTTATTCATCGACTAAAACTATCTATTGCCAGACGGTACAAGAGCATAATAATTAAAATGTAATGGAAATAATTTTATTTATCTCTCAAACACATTTTCATGACACTAACGCCATCTAAATGAAAAGCTTAACTTTACGAATTGCGCTAAAGGTTGGCACCTCTATTGGGCATAGAGCCCCCTATCGCATATCAGTGGAACTTTAACACGGAGGGTGCTAAGGGTTGCATGTTGCACCCTTGCTGGAAAGTGCGTGCTAGGGTAAAGGCCGTGCAAGTGGAACTACAGTGCCCCTAAATAATTCGACGGCTAAAACTTGAACTAAAAGCGCCACATTTTCCATTGATGGTGAAAAATGGAACTAAATATCTGCGTGAGCCAAGGCTTAGAAAATTGATGTAAACAGTGAACTTACACATGACTGTTATAATAAATAGTTTTTTAAAAATACAAATAATGTCTCAAAATTTTATTTGGCAAAGCTGATAACACAGAAATTAAGAAAGAACAATGGCAAACCTACTTGCTTGAGAAGTTACAAATTGCTCATTTACCTTTCTTCTTCTGATCCGCCTTCAATTTGTATCTGAGTTGCGAGTCCAACATAAGCATATAGTCAATATACTTCTGGCCCCAGGGAGAGTAAGACTCGTACCACATCTGAAACATCTCGATGTCCTCGAGGCCAGTATAGCTGGAGCTTTCACGCTCAAGCACTGAACACACGATCTCAAATGGGTCCAAAGGCTTGTGGTACAACTCCGCCACGCGTCTACCATTCATCAAAGTCTCTATTGCTTTAAGTATTGAGTTTATATCATACCCCCTTAATACCTGCGCAGCACTATGCACGTTAAAGTCACGTTTTACCCCATGGAACTTCATAAGTACCTTTGTTAGAATATACGATATGCTTCCATAGTCAGTCATCGGTATCATAATCGTCGAAGGAAATATTTTGTACAATTGGGCATTTTTAGCCATCCACGGCTCTGTAGCCGTCCCCAGAACTAATATTTTATCAACAGGCTGCAAGGGTTTTATGACCTCTTTGAAGAAGTCTCTTGAAAGACGAGTCGGGTCAAACATCTTTTCCTCTTTCGGCACTTTTTTGTAAAACATTTTGTCCGCCCCGTCAACCATAATGACAGTAGGTTGCATAAGTCGACTGATCCTATTTACGTATTGGAACATCGTTTTCATGTTTTTGGGGCCCGGGAACTTGTTATAAACATTCATTGGCGAGAGATCGATTAAAATTGAATTAGTCTCAGATGCAATAGCATAAATCAATGTTCTTTTGCCAGCTGCTTTTGGCCCTACAATCATTTGCGCACGTACAGCGTTGGGGCACTCACATCCTAAAGTTAATAAGCATCGCGTTCTCACTTGCTCTCTAACGTCACCCATGGAGGCGAGAGGGAACGCTGGAGTCCATAATATAGCTCTCATATCAGCTGCAGCGTAATTCAAATCTCCCCAATAATCGTCGAGTGACGTCTTTGGATATTTTCGCACTATACCCTCATCCACCAGAGCTTGGAACATTGCTTCGGGACTCACCTTATCTGGCTTAGGAGGTTTCACTTTTTTGGGTTTCTTTCGCTTCATACTTTGTGGTGGCTTAGCAATTCCTGCTTGGTTGTAATCCGTTTTCAAGGAATTCTTCAGTAAGTTTAATTCTAACCTCATCATGTCATCCACGATAGGTCGCAACTTCAGTTGGACATCCTGATATGCAGTTTCAGTAATCAGTTGCTTGATATAGCCTTTCATAACATCCAAAGGTGCATCAGCGGTATCGAATGATTTCCATTGATTTTCGTACAATTCCCATGCCTCTCTAAAAGGTTCTATCATTTTGCCAATAGAAATGTACACACCAGGATCATTGTCTGGATTAAGACGAGATTTTTTGTAGTCTAAAAGTCGCTTTTTCTCCCTTTCCTTAGCCTCAAATTCCAACCGCTTTTTTTCTTCCTTAGCGGCAAGCTTTTCTGCTTTTATTTGTTCTTTACTTTTCGGTGCACCTGCTTCGGCTTTCAATCTTTTTTCTTCAGCTGTTTTCCATTCAATAAATTCTTCTATTGTAAATGTTTCACCCTTTACAATAAGGATTGAACCTCCTTCGTCTGGCCAGGGATATTCATCAAAAAGGCGTACAGAATTATACCACTCTCGTAGCCATTGTCTAATTTCAGCGGATATATCCTCCATAATATCCCCTTCTCGCAGTCGTAAAACGCGAGCGTTTTCTTTCAAATTTTCCTCTACAAATTTTTCGTAATACTTATGCCTAAATTTACGCCGCTGTGCTTTCACTTCTTCAAGTTTTACTTTTGCAGATACGGGTGCGCTGGCAGGAATTATCATACCTAATTTTAGCTTTAATTTATATTCTCGAACATGGTCTCGTTTCAATTGCATAAATGTTCTGTAAGCCATTTGAATAAATTTTGCTGCTCTAATCCTAAGAGATTCTTTTGCAGGAGGTTTTTTTAATCCAGATAATTCCAGATATAAGTTGGCATCTTTGTTAATCTTACGAATTCTTTCTCTTGTAGCGAATCTTGATCTTTCCATTCGTTGTATGTTATTGACGTGTCCCTCATATTCTAATCTTAATCTTAATTCCTCTTGTTCTTCAGGCGACAGGACTTCTTCTTCTACTGATTCGACAATATCTTCACCCATTGCTAATTTTCTTTTTATTTCTGCTTCTTTTTCTTCTCTAATCCTTTCTTCTTCCGCGAGTCGTTCCTCTTCTTTACGTTCTATTTCAGATGCTGTTGGAGAGGGGTCACCAAGACGGTTTCCAGCTATCAATACTTGGTCAATAATGTACTGCATTTCTTGTTGCCTTATCTCAAATGGATAAAAGTATGGACACATTACTTGGACATCTTGTGGCACCATGATCAGTTGTTGTAAAGCATTATCTGGGTAAGTGAATTCAAACGCTTCTACCTCTTCTAATGTAGACTTGAGTTCGAGTAGCCTACATGTGATCGAGTCGATTATTTTTTTAATGTAAGTGCGTCTTTGTACTTGCTCCATTTGGTCGTAACAGTCGCATAATTTGTTGTAGAGTTCACAGTACTTACAGTAGACCCTTGCAACTATTTCAACAGCAGTTGACTGTGGTTTGATGCCGACTTGTTGAATGGCCAGCTCTTGAATGCGCTCATCTTCGGCAAGAGCTTGCCGGAGTTGCTCTTTGATTTTTAACCAACGCTCGTAATAATCTTTATTAGACATCTTTAAGATTTGGTAAATGTTCCAATAAATCAATAGTTAAAATAATAATGAAAAACAGTAAACTTAATAAAAAATAAACAATGATTTGAAAAGTGAAAATTGACAGGAAGCGTCTTAACGTCATTTTTAACAGCTGATTTTCTTTTCTAATTATCCTACGATTTAGAGGTTTGTACAAGATTATCTTGTCGATTTTTTCTGCCATTAAAAATGGGCAAGTCCGCAGCCACGCCACAACAGAGGATCCAAGAGATAAAAGTTTGAATCGGTGTTCATAACTATAATCTTAAAAGCGGGGACGTCACAATGGAGCGGGCACAATAAAAATGTTTTAAGTGCGCCTCCGTACGTTCCATTGAGCTCGCATCGGCGCACGCGCCGCTCCGCATCCGGTGTTGCGACGCGTGCCGGTTTTTGGTGCGTGGAGCAAAATGTGAGCGAATCGAGCGAGCTTACGATGCGGTGATTTTTTTAAACTCGTGTGGTTCTTGCAAACAAGGCTGAGTTATTCTATTATTTTAATTATATCATACAGAATTTATACTATTGGAGTTTCTAAATATTTTAACATTCTGGCATTTTTAACAATTCATTTACAAATGAATTGTATTTTTATTTTTGTTTTGGGTGAAACAGAACGAATATACACTATTTAGATCTTCCGATTATTTCATATCAGTTTCTTACATTATTTTGATCATTTATCTCACCATAGAAACTAAAGAAACTTATTTCTCTAACCGCTGTTTCTTAACCCTTACGCCGCCGCTCGCGAAACAGTCCAAAATGCATACTAACTGTGATTTATACGTCCACCCTCTATGTATTCATTACGGGTGTAGAAATTTAAGCCATTTATTTCGTTAACTCTGTCCTGGGCAAACCCTGGGGTTGTGATAGTTTGTAATCTTAATATTTGTGTTGATAATGCCTTCTATTAATGGAATTTGTTGTTGTTGCGTTTGGTGTTTGATTACTGTTGTTGTTTATGTAGAAACGTTTTGTTGGCATTATGGTATTTAGACTTTTAGTGTTTTACCACATTAATGTACTTACTATGGTATACAAAAATAAGCGTATCTATAAATTATAGTAAATAATTAATTAGGTATAATATGTATCAAATGCTATTTTTCTAAAATATGTAACTATCCCATCCCATCGCAAACTTTATTTTCTGAAAAATTATGTAAAACCTACTCGTATTTTCACCAATCGATAGACGCTATATTTGACTACTATAATAAATTCATGTATGTGTCTTTCTGATTTAATTTTGTAAAAAAGGAATACCAACAAAAACTTAGATGTCCTCGGAATTCTCAGGGTTAATCCAAATGCGCAAACATCTCTATTATCGAGAATGATAACCGATATTGGATAATTCTCACGGGATTTACATTAAATGATCAGCAGGGGCGTCGATAATTCCCAAATTAGTCATAGCACGGGGTTGCGCCAAGAGGCCGAATGGCTAAATCATTGACTGCCTAATAGAAGGGGAGGCACGGGATTCGATACGGACTCGTTAATGGTGCCTATCGCAAATAAACTTGGATTATCGCATATTTATACATTTATTTTGGTTGTTTAACCCTTCTGAGTAATGGGAGCTACATTGACATTTGACATCTATCTACCTAAATGGTGGCTACCTTGGACTCGCCCTTAAAGGTTTTCCTAGTAAATGTGTTTGCTTATAGGTAGCACAGTCGGAAGCACATCAATCTACACATTTTGTCGCAAAATAATACCTATTACAACTACACAAGATGCCTTAACCCGAGCTAAAGCACACGAAGCGTTGCGGCGCGCTGCGACACGTCGAGGCCGGTCGCTGCGTCGTCTTACATAGAATTATCTGTAGCAGGCACACGAACGATACGGCGAATGCGATCTTTGTGGTGCGAAACCGCAACGGATCGAATGCTTTTGCTCTCAGAATTTAGCTGGATGCGGTCACAAACAATATTTATTGGAATAATAATTAATTCCACAAATTATCGGCTCGTTCAGCGTAGTGCTGAGCCGGACCGGAAAGCGATGGCAGAATGATTGACTGCCAATATGAAGGGAGGGACTGATGGGGAATAATCGCGAACGCTTTGTAAGTGATTCTGAGAAACGACTAGCGTTTGCCATCGAGTCCACTCGTGTAGCACTGTTTATTTGTAAGAAAGTAAGACCATTCATGACCTCACATGCATGAGATTTACTAATGGCGCAGTTACACTATGCATGAAATTGATCGGAAGGTTTTGTTGACATAACACCGAATTTACCAGCAGTCGATCAAACGTTAAGCTTAAAGAGAACAGACACCTATTTGAAGCAGCTCCGTGGTACAGTGGAGAGAGTTTGCCCTTGGAGTCATGAAGTTCTGAGTTTGATTCCTACAAGGGACAGACAGATGCTTCCAAATTGAAAACATCGATCTGATTAAGCTATATCATACTACATATCATAGATAAAATTATAATTTACTCTGAATACTACTAAATGATTCACTTCATCATTACAAGTAGCAATCATACCGAAATTTTGGTTGAGGTTAAACGCATATTCAGTATGTAAAAAACCCAACCCCAAAATGTCATGTGTGGTGCCTTTTGTACCGCGCATGAGAAAAAATCACACCGCGACACGGTTGTCGTTACAAATTTGCAACCGCTGTAGAGACGCACGCGCACATCCGATACGCGTGGTACTGTTGATTATGATGTCCACAAATCGAAGGGGTGGTTGAGTTGTGTTCGTTATACCACTAATTAAGAGCGCTGGGAATAGCAATCGCTGGAACGAAATTTATTGTGTGTGAAATTCATGCAAAGTAAAAGGAATAATTGATAGGTAGGTAGATCTCTTTTACGAACGATTCTTTTTCAAGATATATTTGACTATTTGTTTTGTAGTATCAATTTTGCATTGGAAATTACATTAATGGTGCCGTAGATCGTAAACAAAGATTGTTTTTGTATTGTTGAGTGATAGGTGCGAATAAATTAATTGTCTCGATTTTTTCTTGAGACAATACATCGACAAAAATGAAAGGACGTCATTCAAATTAACGAGTCTAAAGAGTATCGTAATGGGAGTATAATGGCCAGTTGCTGTAATTGTTGAAGTGTCTCGATTATAGAAAAGGGGGATGGGACAATGCGGTCTCAAGGACCGAAAGAGCACTTAATTAATGGGCGACATGTGACTGCACGTGGCAGGTTTAGACATGGTGTGTGGTCATTGTTTATTACTACACATTATAGCGTTTTCCCACTAGCATGCGATATAGCATTATGAAAAGAAGAGGCAAATAAAATATTGGCATAGAGCACTCGTTAATTTTTGAGAATTGTGTGTAATCCTAAAAGACAAGTAATAATGCTATCAAGAAACAAGGTAGCTTTCAAATTGAGGTACGTACACGTAATACGAGTTAATACATAGTCCAGAGAAGGAACCGTCAAAGAAATCAGTTTTGTAGCTTAAGAATTAGTACTTTTATTTAACATACAATCTCCGCAACTTTAGATGCCAAATTAAATCATTTAGGGACGTATCAGTCGATGGCATGTGTTTCGTGGATCATCTTCCACAATCATTTCTGTATATTATGAATTTTCTGCAGTCACTGCTGTTTACGGGATTTCGCTTTTGGGTCATCTTTCAGGTTTAAATTTACCTTTCAAAATTCAGCAAACTATCTAAAAATTGTATCACATATAGCAATTATAAATATAATTGTTCGGTTAAACTAATTTTGAAATTGCAATTGAACATACCGCACTAATGTTCGCGGCGAAGCTCCATGGATTGAACTGAACAACGCGGCAACGTGGAAAGCGATGCGACAAAATGGCGAAAAAATTTTTTTTCTATTACAGTGAGCAAATGGCTAATGGTGATCTATTTTTAATGAAATATACTTTACAAAAACATATACTCGTAATACATGTGTATCATTTTTGAATTTTGAGCATCTCAAAACTTATTGAGTGACCAAATTCGCATACGACATCGCATTTAAAACCATATAGTAGTACCGTAGCTCATGTGCCAGCGGTGGGTAGACCCTAGAGCATTGGTTCCCAAACTTATTTGAGACGCGTCCCCCTTGGACCGTACAAAAAATTCCGCGCACCCCCTCCTCCAGTCAAGATTATTTATTGGTCGTATCGAGCAGTCTGGAATGCATTCTCTCAACGGTCGCAGGTTTTTTATACTTAAGTATATCGATGGCCCGCGCCCCCCTTTAAAGGCCTTTGCGCCTCCCCGCCTCACTTTGGGAACCAATGCCCTAGAGGGATACAGAAACGACTTGCAGTCTTGAGTTTACATACACCCTACCAAAAGCCAGCTCTATGATTCAGATTTATGTGCAGTGTGCACCACGATGAAAAAATTATTAAAATTATTATTGATTTATAACAAACCGCCATTTCTCGCCTAAAATTAAATTAATAGGTGTTAGTACTCACGATACAAAACCTGATGAAACTCCAAGCTAGAATTTAAGTTTTTAATTCTCAAAAATATTAAAATTCTAATCAATCACATTGAGCTTAAGATTCAGTCTGAATGTGAGTCTGAAGTTGAAATCCTGCATAGGCCCTTACACTTCAAGTTCATTAAGAGCTTATAAATAAATTGCCTACTTTCTGTCGCAATATGCAAATATTTGCTTCAAATTAACTAGGTAACCAATAAAACTTTAGACAAAATCGTGAAAAAGCCTGACAGAATCAGACTTCCTTGTGCTAGATACCTAACATCCTATCGCGGTATTAGATGACAATTTATCATTTAAAATTGAATTATTTTATATGGCAACTTTGCAATGCAACAACATTAAAGTTATCCACGATAAAATTATATCGCTTCATACATATAATAGTTTTTTAACGCACGCCTAGTATCTGTAAAGGGGATACTAGTAGTGCGTCTTCAAAAATTGATTGTTATTGTTGTTTCTACAAAATTATTGGGTAATTAAATAATATTACGGTTAGGTCTTATTTAAATGGAAA